AACACTTCCTATAAGGTAATGAAGACAGTTAAAGAAAGTTGCATGCATGCTTTTAGGCAAAATTTTATTTCTATGAAAAACTCATTTCAGTAGATGTAAAGGGTAGATTGAGTATCTGCGTTCTTCTTTGCCAGTGACATGAATTATACTAGTTAATCTTCATAACAACATTATTAACTCAGTGCTATTATTACCTCTATTAAATATGTGAAGAAAGGACATAGTTGACCTAAAATCACCAAGCTAGCAGGTGCCAATGCCAGGAATAAAACTCAATTTAAAAGAGAAGAATAATATCCAAAACATAGCAAATGGCTTTCCATAAGTAGTGAAATTATGGGAAGGTTACAAACAACTAGACAGATGACTCAAAATATCTAATTACACATTGAATACTTTTTCACATAAGCACATTCTCTTTATAAAGGCACACTTTCAAATCTACAAGTTGATTTGCTAGGAAAAGATGGAAAATACCTCATGTAATTTACCTCCTGTGAAAATCCTCTGGTCAGTTATGGATGTGTTTCAACTTGAAGGTACCATAACAACAACTTATAAAGTAAAATAATGTTATTCCTTTGTCACATTAAACACAAAATAGGACAAGAGATGTAATTTATTAACTGTCCATATTAAATATTACAATTAATGAACCAGAAAATCCTTCTAAGCATGTCAGCCATAGTGTCTGCCAGTTATACCTCTCAGATTATTAGGTGTCTAGAACATTCAGGGTGTCAACTTTGGAGAAAACTTACCTGACACAGAAATGTGAGCTTCTTTCACCAAATTAAGGAATGGATTTCTTATCAAACATGACACATTTTCTTTTGAACTTTCATCCACTATAACTGATGTTTCCACACAAAATAGACCATTTTCTTCTGTTATTTTTGTCTCAGAGGCTGATGTTGAATACTGTCCTTGCACATCTCTCCATTGCACTTCAGGCTTTGGGTACCATCCCGTGGATGTGCAGGTCAGCTTCCATCCTCCAGTTTCACTTTGTTCAATGTGAATATGGGGTCCTGAACCTGCTGAGCCTGGGAAAGGGAGGGGCAATTAAAAAAAAAAAACACAATTACTCAAGAATTTTCATTTCACACAGGCCAATAAACTTGTACTAATTAAACAACCTCTATGAATATTAACTCTCTTACTTGTGGAAATATGGGTTGACATTAAAAGAGAAACAAATGACCACACAGAATACTAATACTGTAAAATAATGCACATATATCCATATATACCAACACATCCAGATATCAAGGAGGCCTACATGCATAACTTTGGTTTTGCTTTCTCCCCTTCAACGTGTTTCTCATAATTTTATTTGATAATTTTTAAAGTTGGGTAGTAGAGCACTCTATCAATACCATTTTAGACTATAAATTTAAGAGCATATCTTCATGGCTATTTTTAAAACTTACTTCAGAATTTTCTAAAGGGTTAAGTTTAGGCACAAATTTTATTTCCCGCTCTCCTGGATGTTTTAAAAAAACTAAGAATAAACTGAGACAGTTTTGGATTTATATTTATTGTTATTAAATGTCTTTGATTAAAGTACGACTCAAAGTGACCCTATAAACAATAGATCTGAACCTTGTCCTACCCTGTGCCAACATCACAATCTCTGACATACTTGAGCCCATTGCTGCAGTCACTTTGTCAATCTGCCTGGCTAACAATTTTCCTGTCCTTCACCATCCCTCCAGCTTTCCAAGAATGATATCCTTCTCCAAGGTATAGCCTCTCCTAGCAACATATTCAAAGTGTGTGAGATAAAGCCTCACCATCCTTACTTCCAAGAAGAAATCTGGGTTCACCCTCTCCAAGACATATCTATTTTCTCTCTTGGCAGTTGGAATATCCTGCACTCTCCTCCAATACCATTGCCCCTCAGTAATTTGGATAGATCTCTGACTGCAGACTTTCCCAGTTCAATATGCCCATTAATCTCCTGACTACTGGTGCCAAGTGCATTTATTTTGGATCCAAGTAAGATGAAGACATTGACAAAATTTAAATCTTTGACAAAGACAAAGTTTAAATCTTTATTCCATCTATCACAATCCTTTTGAATCTAAAGTGTATAGAATTCTTCTCAGGAAGATATTATAGGATGCTGAGACTACCTACAGGGATAATATCTTCAGTGCAACTGATTATTGACCCTGGATCAAACTTAACTCCTCTTGGAGAGGGAGGTAAATTAAAAATATATTTCAGACACCACACAAACAACCTGAAACATAAACACAGAAAAACCTGAGGTGTCCTGGTAGGGAGTGTAAGGAAAAGTTCTTAATGCTGAATAGCACCTATTTCTACAGTACGTTGGGTATAGGCTACCACAAAGTGGATCCACCTTAGGAAGAACAATCCAAAGTTCTCATTAGCTATAATGGGAATATTTGGATACCCATCTCCCCCTCCTCCCTTGCCAATTGGCTGTAAGATAACCATGTTTGTACTCATTCAAAAAAAGGTGATTCTATAGAATGTAAACATTATCAAACAATATAATTAACATCACACACAAATAACATCTTGCTAAAGATTATTCAAAACCTATTGGAAAAGTACATCTACTTGTAACTCTCAGAAATTAATGTTGGATACAGAAGACGCCAGGACTTGAGGCACACAATTTCTAATAAATTGGAGGAAGAAGCATCAACAACATGTGTACTGCAGATGACACAACCTTGCCTGCAGAAAGTGAAAATTACTTGAAACAATTGCTGCAGAAGACCAAAGACTATAGTCTTCAGAGGGATTACATCTCAATGTTAAGAAAACAAAAATGACACCATTGTACCAATAAGCAACATTGTATTATATGGAGAAAAGATTGATGTTATCACTGATTTAATTTCTCTTGGCTCCATAATCAACACCTGTGGTAACAGCCGTCAAGAAATCAAAAGGCATTTTGCATTAGTAAAAACTTTGTTGTGAAAAACCTCTTCAAAGTGCTAGATAACAATGATGTAATTTTAAAGCATAAGGTGTACCTGATCCAAGCCATGGTATTTTCAATAATTTCCTATGCTTCTGAAAGTTGGAAATAAGTAAAGAAAGCTAAAGAAGAATGTATGCCTTTGAACTGTGGTTTTCAGGAAGAGTACTGAATATCTGACTACTAAACGAAAGAACAAGTTTGTGTTATGATACTTGGGAAAGCGGAGGATCAGAGAAAGAGAGGAAGACCTTCAACAAGATAGATTGACACAGTGATTATAACAATGGGCTCAAGCATTATCAGAAACCATGAGAATGGTGCAGGATAAGGCAAGGTTTTGATCTTTTATTTATATTTTATTTATTTCTGAGTCTTAGTAAACTCCACATACATAAAATCAGTAACAACAACAAAAGGGCAAGTGGAGTTGGTATGTATTTTTGTGTCTTATATGTACACAGTGCAAATAAAAAGCTGAATAGTCTTTTTTTTTTTAAAGCTGAATAGTCTTGTCTTACACATACCAATTAATTAATAAAAATAATTATTTAGTGGTGGCTATTGTTATTACTATGTACTGTCGAGTCAGAACCATGTCATACTTGATTTTGCACTGGGTTTTCAGAGACTAGAAATGTCATATAAGAAGATTTCCCATCATTTTTTTGAAGAGCAGCTGGTAGATTTCAAATGTGTGCTTTTCATTGGCAGCACAGCTCCTTTCCATTAAGTCTCCAAATTGTACATTAATGGAAATTATTGCAAATAGACTTCAAGACAAGTTGGGGGGGGTTAATTGCATGTAGCGAAAAGTTTACAGAATGGTTGGGGTTTTATTCATTCACTGGTACTAACTTTTCTCTATCCTTTTGTCCCTTCTCCCTCCTCCAATTCACTTTGTGATCCAAGACTTGTTCTAGATTGTTAATTGCTGTACATACAATTCCTAAGCATCCACTCCTTTCTCCTCACCTATTCCAGTTCAGTGTTTTTTTATCTCTTCCCTCTTTTCCTGTACTCCCCCTCCCCTGGGTCGCTATGAGTCGCAGG